AATAAAAAATTTTGTTAACCCATTATTGGTGTGAAGCCTCGGGTGTGAAACACTGGGCCAACGGGTGTGAAACCCTAGGCCGACTCCTCTGCTCCTCTTCCACAAACAGCCGTCACACTCCCATATTTCTTCTTCTTTTTCCCAGACAACCACCCCGCTCTTCTCCTCCTCCAACAGCCTCCGTCGTCGTCGCCTCCTCCCTTGCTCCCTTCCACTTCGAGCAGCCCCACCAATCACCCTCCACTTCGAACAGTCCCGACGAACTTACTCATGCTCTCCTCCACCTCGAGCAGTCACCTTTTCCTCCTCCACAAACCGCCAAATCCACACCTCAAACAGCCGTCGTTGTCGTCTCGCCCGCGTCCACTCATCGACCACGTTCTCTCGTCACCCACATCGCCAGTTTACATGTTGACTCGTCACCCTCGTTGTCGCTCAGATTAGCCGCCGCCGTCGCTCAGTTTGCCGCTATTGTCATCGCTCAGTCGTCGCCGTTATCGTCGCTCAGTTCGTCTCCACATCGTCATCCAGTTCGAAGCCTGTTCAGGCCGACGAATGTTTCGTTTTCTCTCTATTTTTTTGTTAATCTCATTTTATTAGTTAATTACACGAGAATTCCATCTCTGAACTCTTATCATATATTCACTGCTTAGATTATATTTGTGAGTTGAGAGTAATTGAGCATGTGGCTGTTAAAATTTGATATTGATTGTAGAACTTGTGCATGATAATGAATATTGTAATTAAATTGATTGAGAAGAGAATTATTCATAATTATTGATGTAAATTTTGTTAAATCCATATATCACATTAGTTGTTTTGAATTTAATTCCTGCCAAAGATCATGAAATTTGGTGAAACGATGTGTTATTTGAAATAAATCACTGATTCTGATAGACCTCATGTCCCGTTTCACATCATTTTTGGTATCAGAGTATGGTTATAGGTTAGGAAATTTTTAGGTTAGTTTAATTAAGTTTTTTATTTAAAAAAAATTATCATTATCATTCATCTCATTTAGTTGTTAGTGCATATCATTCATCTTATTTAGTTGTTAGTGCATGCCCACTCGCACATGTCTACCTTATCAATTAGGAGTCAAGTGAATTGACTAGTGAATCCAGCATGTCAGACAGTATAGATTCCGAACTCCTTAAGAAATTCGACGAACTAGTATGACAACTAGGTGTCGTAGTCCAGGAGTGTAGAGCTACACGTGAGGCCTTGACGGGTTTTCAGAATGAAACTAACGAAATATTCGCTAGGCTCGAAGAAGCACGTGTTGCAACCCCGCTACCGCAAGGTCAAGGTTATGGACACATCGTTCATCGACCCCCACATCAACCTATGTCTGATCCATCAACTTTTGATGGTAAGCATGACCCACAAGCTTTTTTTGGACTGGCTGAAGAATATGAATCGCTACTTCGATTGGTACGTCTTGACGGAACCGCAGAAAGTCAAGTTTGTAGCAATGAAGCTTACCGGACCAGCTTGCTAATATTGGTCCCACCTTGCAATGTTAAGGTATATTAGAAGTAAGTTACCAATTTTAACTTGACGAGAAATAACTGACGAGCTAAAAAGGAAATACGTCCCTCCAAATAAAATTAATAAGTCGTCTATAACAAAATCAAAATCTAATCTTGAGAAAACCGTTAATCAAGCCGTAGATTTGACAGAATCTAACTCTGACAAGAAAATCCGGGTTAATAAAATTGAGAAACTATGCACTTTCGTTTCTTCTGAAACTACCTTTGCAATTATGGAATTGACTGAAGTTTCATGCAATAACGATACTCCGATTATTCCCCAAACTACCCATTTGATTACGGAGTTCACTGATGTTGTCTCTGAAATAGTTCCTGAAATTAAAACTCCAACTCCTCCTGAACTCACTCTAGTGATTGAAAACGTTATTGATGTTCCCCACGAAGTCTTCCCGGACAAACATGAACCTATACATGACACCCAACACGTTTACTCAGATATCTGTATAGAAGTTGAATCCCAAACTGAGCATAGTGAAATAACTCCCATATTAGATATCAAACCATTATGCATTGTCCCGACAATCACTCACATATACACTGATCCATTTTGGGAATATATAGTGATTAGGGATACAAGTTTGAACATGAGTGTTTTCATTAATATTCGACCTAACCATTGTAAATGAATCACATACCTTGCAGAGTATTTCATTTCTCTCTTATGTTAAGCGCACAAAAACACTCCTCTTTCATGCATTTTTTGCATGTTCCTAGGAAATTTGTTATGCATATTAACGAAGGAACACCTAATTATTCATTCGATAGAGGACGTCATAGACACTTCGTTGAGTTTACATTTGCCATTAAATGCATTGTTCGAGTTTGCATTTCATACATAGTCATTTAAGTTGATTTGTATCATTTTGTTTTGATTTGCATTGATCATATATTGGAGAATCAGTTAACTAATTTGAATAAATACATCGTTAACTGAAATGTATGATATGGAGTCTTAACATAATTTAAAACTGTTAATGTTTGAGATGGTTTGGACTTGTCCAATACAGTTTCTTTTGTAGCTGTTTGAGATTTGACATGATATTTATGAACTTTTCCAACTCTTGAAATAATTAATGGCAACATTTATATTATCGATTTGGTCATAGTTATATTCTCAATATTGATTGATTAAACAGTTCACAATGTTTATTAACAATCCACTGATATAAGCCTGACCCTAGCCTATTGTTTCTGAGAGTTCTTTCACTTTACCTCACTTCTATATATTCACCCATGCAACAGTGAATTTTGATAATATTTTAGATGGTGAAAACAATGCAATCTAGCTAATGATTTGAGATGCAGGAAAGTAACTAACGACATATTAAGATGCAAGCAAAGTATATTGAAGATGAAAAATTTCTGCAACTAACTCGACGGAGTCGAGTTTTCTCCTACCCGAGGAGAATAATGAGCACAATAATAGCAATTCCATATTTATTATTTGATTTTCTTTTATTTTAGTTTTGAATAAGGAATATTTGGCAAGTTTGATCAGATCTTAATTTAGTTTTAATTGTGAGAAATTTGAGGGATTTTTCTATTTTGGTAGGATTTTAATTTTTAAATTTTGAATTTTGGGTCAAGTTTAGTAGTTAATCAGTTTTTAGTATCTAAATGATTTGAGGAATCTGATTGATTATGAGAGATTTTATAATTGCTCCATAAAAGCACTGCTGTAATCAGAATGAAGATATAATGAACATTTGAATCAATGAAAATTTTTATTAGCTAATTTTTGATGTGAAGCCCTCGGGTGTGAAACCCTAGGTCGATGGATGTGAAACCCTAGGCCGACTCCCCTGGCTCCTCTTCCACAAACAGCCGCCACCCTCCCCTGTTTCTTCTTCGTTTTCCCAAACAACCGCCCCCGCTCTTCTCCTCCTCCAACAGCCTCTACCGTCGCCTCCTCCCCTGCTCCCTTCCACTTCGAGCAGCCCCGCCAATCACCCCCCACTTCGAACAGTCCCGACGAACTTACTCCTGCTCTCCTCCACCTCGAGCAATCACCCTTTCCTCCTCCACAAACCATCAGATCCACCTAAAACAGTCGTCGTTGTCGTCTCGCTCGCGTCCACTCGTCAACCACGTTCTCTCGTCTCCCACGTCGCCAGTTTACACGTTGACCCGTCACCCTCGTCGTGGCTCAAATTTGCCGCCACCGCCGCCATCGTCGCTCAGTTCGCCACTGTTATCATCGCTCAGTCGCCGCCGTTATCGTCACTCAATTCGCCGTCACGCCATCATCCAATTTGACGTCATCGCACCACCTCCAGAGATCCCTCATGCCAAGCCTGTTCAGCCTGACGAAGATTTCGTTCTCTCTCTATTTCTCTATTAATCTCATTTTATTTGTTAATTGCATGAGTATTCCATCTCTAAACTCTTATCATATATTCACTGCTTAGATTATATTTGTGAGTTGAGAGTAATTGAGCATGTGATTGTTAAAATTTAATATTGATTGTAGAACTTGTGCATGATAATGAATATTGTAATTAAATTGATTGAGATGGGAATTATTCATAATTATTAATGCAATTTTTGTTAAATCCATCTATCACATTAGTTGTTTTGAATTTAATTCCTGCCAAATATCATGAAATTTGGTGAAACGATATGTTATTTGAATTAAGTCGCTGATTCTGATAGACCTCATGTCCCGTTTCACATCAGAGCCCCCCCTCAAAGAAGCCAACTTTTATGCTGTAAACAAAAGGTTTTCTACGGTTAGAATTTAGGGTCTGATGCAATATTATTGGTGGATAAGTAAATTCTTTCAAGAGAGTGACAATCATGTTTTACTTTATAGCACATAAAATAAAATGCAATTACATAATCTCCTAATGTGAGAACCAAACAATCTGCTCTAAATTCCTAATATACCAACTATTCTAATAGGTTGTTTAAATTGCTGATATATTCTCATGTTTCTTCTAACTTTCCTAATGTAGTAGCTACTCTAATAGGTAGTCTAAACTATCATAGTCCCCTGTATCTACTCATCCTATTTGAAGTGTAGAATATACATCCAAGAAGCGTATGAGAAGTGTTTAAAATTAAAACATGTATTATATAATTGAGTATATGCCCAAATAAACATATGCACATGTCTAAGAAGTGTCCAAGAGTTTTAGGTACATGTATGGGTACGGGTATGAGTACGAGTACGTGTCGCGTACGGGTACAGCTTCTGAATAGAAGTACTCAGGTAACATAGTTTCTATTCTTCGTATTTCGCTAGAACATTTTCAAGTGATAATGACATCAAAATTTACATGTTTACAATAATATTAATATGTCAAAAAATAGACTAGTTTAACTGTTTGTTGAAAGTATAATTTTAGCACTTGTTATATATGTACTAGCACAAGAAATAGATATATTCAATCAGGGCATGAAAGAAGATACAAATCAAAAGAGAAATTGCAGAAATTAAGAGCTAACCTTATCTGGGTACTGCTTAGCAAGCTCCACCAATTGAAGTCGACCAACCTTTCCTTGTGCACGTCCTAGAAAGTTTGCCAGATACTTCCTCTTTGATAAAGGGACAGGTTGGACAATGGTGGACCCATAAAATGTAGTCATCCCATCATCAACATTGCCAGGGATGATAATGTCTTTCCATGTATTAAAAGAGCTTACATCTCGTTTGTCAGTCCGATCCCCCTGTACTATGTAAGGATTACACATGTTTATTACAGGTCCTTAAAAGCCTATTAACCTAGCAACTGGAAAATGCTAGCAATAAACTATAAAGAGTACTAGTATGATTACTATGACGATGAATACTAGAGAAAGAAAACATAACTCTTGAGCAAAGATATAATTCAAGTTATAACAGTTCTTGCTAGCCATCATTCTTCTACAGCAACAACTGTATAACAGTTCAAGGGAATGTAAGTAGTACCTCTGGAGTAAGGATGATTGATCTATTCAAAAATGTTGCCCAGGATCGAAACAAATGTGCACCAGCTCCGCTGTAATGAATACAAGAAGACATGTAGTAAGGCATCTTGTGGACTAATCAATGGTAGTTACTAACAACACCAATATTGTCATCAATAAAAAAAAGTGCATTGCAAAGTGTCATCAAAATAAGGTACCTTGGGAAGACAAACACATGGTTCCTGCCACCTGATAGACGGAAATATGGCATTTGACTTAAAACCTGTAATATACATTAAATAGCATTCAGCCCAAAAGTGGAAAGAAAGAAGGACAGGAAAATACTATAATAAATACTGATACATACTGATACAAGTTTAGAAAGTCGATGTTTTCATGAGTTTTCTGAGGGTGGCATGATTAGTGGCTTTCAGAGAAAACATGCCATCAGAAACATTTGCAAACAAAATCTTTCAAAAAATGCTCTATTTAACAGCCATAGGAGGAATGAGAAGAAAAAAAATCTGCATTTAAGCACCTTTACCTTCTATTTGGAGCTTCTCAGTAACATCACATGTAAGATATAATGGAAAATGGCACAATCCGGAATCAAAATTACCTTCACATATGTCTGGTTGATTTCCTTATCATTCAAGCCTCCCATCATGCGAACACATTTGACATAAGATGGAACAAAGAAGAGATCTGCTTCCTTTTTATTTGATGTTCGAAACTTAGACTTGAGAAGTAAATGGTGTACTTTTACCTATATAAAATAAACAATGTGAGAAGAAAAGACACAGTAAATACTTTTTAATTTAAAACATATCCAAGATTTGTCCTATATATGTCATAGAATAATCATCAGTGACGGAAAACAATAAGTTATGCACAATTTTTTTAGCCCCTCATATGCAAAATGAAAGAACTAACAAAGAAAAACAGCACCAGAACAAAGAAAAACAGCACCAAAACTATTTGTTCTCATCCACTGGATAGTATCAAATGAACTAAAGAAATCATATCCTGCATGAGCTCATCCTACATAGTACTTCCCATGTATCATTTGCTTCTACCAGATATTCAATGAGTTAGATATATTACTGATATTCAATTTAAACCAAATATGGAAGTGGAAGCTAATAAACTGAAAGTGCTCGTCCAGTGGATGCATCAAGTTAAATAACTATATTAAACTTACAAACAATTGCCATCTTTCAATTAAAACACATTTGTGACTATATCATATGCAACAACCATTCGCAACATGACAAATTGTACATGTGGCTACTTACTTTGAGAATGTAAGTGCAGAACAGCTATAAAGTTTTTTCACACATATGTATATTCTAACTTGCAGTTATCATCTGGTTATGTATCTGATTCTATAGATATAGTATGCAGTCAGATATGTCACTGCAAGGTCTTTCGTCAAACTTTTAACTTCACTTGTGTTCCCTTCGATTCTCACATCATGTTACTTATTATTTATACTAATGATCTATTAATTTAAAGTAGTTATTCCTGCTAATTACTTGTAACTTCGCTTGTTCGCCCACTATTGCTTTAGTCATTTTTTTTCCTTCCGTCCCCCTCTCTATCTATTTCTGATTATTTTTCTATCGTCCTTTTCTTGCCACTTCTTCTTTCCATCATGGTTAACTGTTTATATGCTTTGTGAAAGAATTGGATGTACAATACACACAACAAAGGCCTAACCATGTGATATGTTCAATTATATATTCAAAAAAATTATATTTGTATTATGTCTCTTGCTTCCTTGAGGCTCTCACATCGCTTTGCGCCTTGCGCTTGGTGGACGTAAAGGGACGTTGGGCCCTTTATTGCGCTTTGCACCTTGATAACACATACAAATTGAAGATAGAATCACCGAAAAGTTTGTGCCAACCTCCCCTCTTTGGCAAATTCCAAATTCTTATTTTATCAAGCATAAACTTGCACTAGTTCGATAAGGAGGTAAGCACTAGGCAATTTGGATATAGGAGATAAAAATTCTTTTTATGTGCTCTCCTTGATTACAGCCATTGTTCTGCCTACGGTTTCTTAGTTACATTGGCTTCTCACCATTTCTATTTTTCATTGTAACAAACTACAGAAAGGCATTTTCAAACATTCAACGCTAAACACAGTGACCCTCTAACGAGCATTTGGATAATCCTTCAACAGAGTAAAGACAAAATCTTACCCAGTGAAAATAAAAAATTGGAGTGGTAATCGACAGACCTGAGTCCCCCATTGTCCCTTAACGCAAGCATCAGCCGAGATCTTTCCATCTCGTCCACGCATCAACTCTCTCAAGCCCTCAATCTCATCCTCATCGTACACGTAGATCTTGAGATCGAGCCTCGGCCCAAACCCTCGCTGGGGCCAATTGAGACCTCCAGAGCTCCGATCGAAGAGAGACGAAGAAGCCGAAGCGGACGAAAACGAATCAAACGAAGAGGAGGAAAAGAGAGGGCAAGAGAGGCGGTCGAAAGCTCGGGTGAGGAATGAAGGTGACGGCGACTAGTGTAGGGCCCGATCCTGGTGGGCCCGAGTGAAGGCTGGGTGGTGGAGCCCGCCGGCGGCGACGAAGGGATTCCGGCCGCGGTTAAGGCTTCCCATTCTCTCTGTTTCTGTGATCCCTGGGAGTAATAAGGGACTGATTGTTGAGGATCTCTGTAACGGGGAAATTGTGTTCGTTACTTGAGGCGGTCGGGTGGTATGATGCTGTGTTTCACGTTTGGATGGGGTTAAAGAAGGGGAAGGGGCGACAATGTTAAGTTTGGCTACGACTAGCATTTATTTATTTTCCTTCACTCCCTAAGGGCGTGTTTGGTTGTCTTTTTTTAAGTAGGAAATGGGTTGAAAGCCGGTCAAAAGTATCAGTTTTGACAGGCTTTCTTATAAAAACACCTCTAAAAAGAAACTTTTTTAAAGAAAGCCTGTCAAAACTGACAATTTTGACAGGTTTTCCCTTTTTTCCCCTTATGCAAACAAACAGCCCCTAATTAGAACTCGTAAGCAACATAATTTCAGTGCACATTTATTCTCCTTATAAAGCTCCCGAACAAGATATTATATTTTCCCTCCTGTTTTATATATTTTCTTTCACTATCTTACATTTTCATAGCTTACCTTTCATATCCTTTACTTACTAAACTCCCAAACATAGCATAATGTTTGTTCGACAATTTAGCCCCTACCCATGTTCTTGGAATTCGAGTGCATGTGTGGGATTCTGAGTGCTAAACAAGAGGGAGGGAAAAAAGACTGAAAAGCCCTTGTACTTCCAAAAATGAACGGCTCAGAAGTGCGGGGTGTTTTGAGAGGATGTGGACTCCTAGAATTCACACTTAATGCTTCAAAATGTGTTGGGCAAAAATTGGTTCGAGACTGGACTAGTTTCTTTTTGGCCAAAAAAGAGACCTTTTACTAGGTTATTTTTGAAGCACTCCTACAAGTTTAGTCCTCAGTAGGGATCATTGTCAGAAGCATCTGTATAAAAATGAGATGATTTACGTATGAAAGTTAGAATTATCAAATTAATCCTCTAACCACTTGTGAATAGTAAGATCACTAGTGTGAAGTTGTAATTAAACCATATTAAAAAGAAATTTTGCATATATACCCCTAAAATCTTGGTATGCGAAATTACTTCACAAAACTAGCATATTGGGTTTTCTACCACTCCAACTTAAGAATGTTGCATTTTAAATAAGGAAATGTCAAAACCCCAACAATTTCAAACATGGTTGCAACAATTTCTTATTTAAAAACTAAGACTGTTGAGTGGAAAGAGTAGTAAAAAAAACAATGTGAGAGAACTAGGGGGATATTCTGCAAATGCCAAGTTGGCGGGCAATTTTGTAACTATGAAAGATTTGAGGGGTATATATGCAAAAACCCTATTAAAAATCAATATAATATTTTGATAACATGTTATTTTTAAAAATATGTAAGATCATTTAAAATAGTGAGTGTCTGCTAATTTCTTCATATACCCCCAAATCTGGGTTTTCTTTTCTAAAAGATTTTTTAGTATTTGCAAATCATAGTGTTGATGTCAGAGGACTCAGCAGCGGGGTTAGAGGATAATCCTAAATCAATGACGGGGCTTAGGTTTAAATTGGACGATGTAGGGGTCCTCTCATCTTCTCTAGATGGTCGATCTCCTATTAGGATAAGAGAGTTGCAAATTAAGCATATTAGAGCACCGAAGTTGGGTTCTCCAGTGATCCCTTCGATGATCAAGTCAGTATAGAGCTTAAGTGGGGAATCAATAAACTAAATGAGTCGAGAGATTTAGTTAGCCAGAAATGGCTTACCTATGGCCCTGAGGGGGCTCCGCCTTTTTTCAGCCAGTAGGCGGTGAGCCTATATATATACCTAGCTAAGAGGGGTACATGCATAATTCTGGACGAGTCCAAGCAAGTAGCTAATCGGCATATAGCCTATAGGTGTCGGTTGCAGGTGGGATGAGTCATCACTGAGTTTGACATAATGGTGACTAATTGGGTGTGGTGCTGATGGAAGGTGATGAGTCATTGAGACTCGTGGCATGAGATATGACGGTGATGGCCAGCTGTTGGTGAGGATTTTGAGGATGAACCACCTCTCTAATCGGCTCTGTGAACGGGTCAAAAAGTATCGTCTTTTTTGTCAGCCTCGCAAGTTGTCGACCTGACCTTGAGTCATGTGGGCGGAGGCGAGTCAAATGATGAGTCGAGTGAGAGCTTGTCTCGACTCGGCCTTACAGGGAGGGGACGAGTGTCTATGCTACATGAGTCATCCCTGACTGGGTGAGTTGATCTAATGGTTAGTGCTAATATAGGACACGTGTCGACTCCAAGAGGAGGATTAGCACTTAGGTTAATTGTTGACATAACACCGGCCCCTTTCACTCAAACTCGGGGTGGCCGAGTCCAAGTAAAATAGAACTATCGGTGATCGGGTCCCGAGGTGCCTTTATGAGTAGTCACTGAAGAGTCTCTTTTGATGTGACATTGTTGACGTCAGAGAGGATCTTATACAGCCGCAGCCTCGATTCTCGAACGAGGATTGTGGACTAATCAAGGCAAGGGGCTCTTCAGTTCTAGAGCGGTTGCTTCATATTTTGGGAATGATATTGGTCGTTAGTTAGCAGTTGAGTTGGTCGTTGCAATCTTGCCACATGTTGGCGCTTCTACCTATAAAGATGGCCATTATGATGAGGGAGATTTTGTTGTTCAAACCCCAAACTCTCTTCTGCCATGAAAGAACTCCTGTCTTTTTCACATTCTTTTATTTGGCGATTTTTTGATCTGATAGCATCTACATCTTTAATGGTTAGGAATGAGATTCGAATCAGTTAGTTGCAGAAATTTCACTAAAAAGTGTCGCCATCGCAGCTTGAGACTCTGTATGGCAAGTATGACATTCCTAGGCATTTGCCCTAATGACGCCGGCACGTACACAGGCGGTCTATGATCACAGCAACACTATTGCTCCAGTGTATCTCAAACACTTTGGAGTATGGATTGCGTCTGTAGTTGAACCCCTTCCTCCGCCGTGTCTTTGAGACTTTGGGGGTGTCACGTCACAAATGAAGCCGAACTCCATCGCTACCCTAGTAGCATTTGTCGTCATCTGCAATTGGCTGGGAGTTGACCTATCTCTGAGAAACCTTGGCCACCTTATTTGCATGAAGGTGAATCAACAAGAGGTCCATTATTACCTCTAGGTCCTAGGGGGAAACAAGATTGTCTCCAACGCTTTTTAGTCCAACAAAGACTAGAAGGAACGGTTCATGTGGGTGTTCGGTGCTGATACCGTCTTAGGTTTCTCCATGTGGCCTAAGATTGATAAGGATCTCCTAAGGCTGGGTCTATCGTCGAGTGACGAGAAGCGTGCACTTGACAGGATCAGGGCCTCTATAGGCTCTCGTTGGATCAAGAAGTTCTTCGACACCTCGGTTCTATAGGTTGTCGCCATCTCCTCAGTTCCTCCAATCGTGAATGATGAGGCAACGTTGGCCAGGCCAATGATAGGCTTGAAGGAAATCGAGATGGTGTCGACGGCTCTGTTTGCTCGAGCTAGGGGAGGGCCCTTAGCGAGGCCGAAGAAGCGACTTCATCCTGATCTGGCCCTAGTAGTTCAACTGGTCGGGTCGAGTGTTGCTATAGTTCAGACCGAAAAGGTCTAAAAAAAAAAAGAAAAGACAGCTGAAGAAGGAGGCAACCGAGTCCCTTCTGGGAGCACTGAGGCTCTCAAAGACAGAGCTGAGGCTGTCAAAGAGGTGGGTGTTTCCCCTGTTGCTCAGAGAGACGTCGTAAGCCATTCAGAGGCAGAGATTCTGCCTCCTCAGGCAGTAAGGGAGGATGTTGCTGTCGTTCTGGCCTATGAAGCTGATGTTATCATCCTTGATAATAGGTCCCTTGCCAAAGGAGAGCGGGTTGAAATCACCATGGCCGAGGCCGAAGAGGCCGAGGCCCTAATAGAGGGTGAGGTGGCCCCTAATATGTCATCGAGTCGACCCATTAGCAGGGGAAGAACAATTGCTGAAGGGGAACCTCCGGATGGCCATACCCCTATCGTATTAATGAGCTCAATGTGGAGAACTGGGGCGACCTAAAGATGCAGCTAATGAGGTCTTCCAGAATCGGTCCCCGCTTCGAGAAGGAGCTATCCTAGGGGTTCAGATTTGAATCCTGGTGACATCTTGACTAGTGGTGGTCAGTTCTGGAGTATCGACGACCAAATTGGTTGAGCAATGATGACGAGATCCTTGGTAAGATGCCAGATGTCGGACCCCACCAGTGCCTAAAAGGCTACATGATTTGAGGAGCTCTGGTGGAACAGGAGCAATTTGGCTAATTCGAGCATGTTTGAACCTCCTACCTCAGGCTCTAAAAGGAGTTAGAGGCTCAGAGAATTGCTCATGAAAGGACTCTCCCGATGCTGTTGGCAAGGGAGGATGAGCTAGCTATCTAGAGAATGGGTGAGGACAAATGGTGCCAAGAGGTGGACATGCAGGAAAGGATGATCGATGGCCTAAAGAATTCAAATAGCAAGAAGTACGCCGAGATTACCCAGCTCAAGGAGGACCTCGACCATATCGAACACGATCTTCAGTAACAGGACGATAGGATAAGATATCTGTCCAAGGAGGTCGAGGTGGAGAGGTGAGAGAGGAAGGATGCCTTTGAGTGGGCTCGAACTGATCACCTAAATGCTAAGAGCCAGCGGGTCTAGCTAAAAGAGGAGCAAATTGCTCATAAAGAGCTCAAGCGAGAGAGCACTCGATCTACAATGGAGGCTGAGTGACAGCATGAGTTGACCCTCGCCAAAGTTCGTGCACCGCATGGCTACTTTGCTCATCTAGAATTTTGAGGCCTATTGGTTCGAGATTATTGAGGGCTATCACCACAACACTCTCGGAAAGGTGGAGGTGGCACTTGCTTATAAACCTGCCTACGATTATCTCAAGGCACAGCTTCTGGCCAACCTCCAAAGCAATCCTAATCACTTCCACTATCCTCCAAGGGTGACCAATTGCCTTGGAGCACTCCAGCAGATAGAGAACCAAGGAGGTGGCTCACACTCGATGATAGGAGAGGTGACAAGGATGATGAAGATCCGATCGAGGAGGCAAACGAGGGCTCTGCTCGTGACAGCTAGGTGAGTCAGCCCGAAGAGAGAGAAGGCAAGGAGGTCAAGACTAAGGTCTAGTCAACTCCCATACCAACTTCTACAGTCGCTGCTCCTGCTTTTCCGACTCTTTCTCTTGGCCCTAGTGTCGTTCCACA